TTCGGGACATTCCAATTTTCAACGCGAGTGTTGAGTGTTGAAGTCAACAAGTTGACGTCATCAACGACGTTCCAACTCGAGTACGAATTGCTTAGTTCCCATAATTCCATTCTCAGCAAGATGGATTCCATTCAAATGTCTTATCAATTACCCACAATTCATTGGAAAGTAGCAGTCAACATATCTGTTGAGTGCTGAGTGTGTTGAGTCAGCGCTGACAACAGCGCTACCTCAACGTTGAAAAAAGGAACGAATTTTAACGAATGTTGAGATCAGCGCTGAAAATTGGAATGTCCCGATTAGTATAGATCAGTGTTTCTCAACGGGGGCGATATCGCCCCCGTGTGGGCGTTTTTCCACGTAGAGGGGGCGATTAGTAACAATATTTTGGGGGGCGAAAAACAATTTTCTGGGCGATATAGTAAAACATTATATTAAGAATAATGAGATATTTTATTCGTTATATCGTACAATAATTAAACAAATAACATTATAATAGTCACTAGTCTATTCGATGCAGTACGAATTTGGCCTTAGCCTTGGCCCTCGACATCGGAATTTTAAAGTAAAGGGGGCGATACTACGTAATGGTTTTATTGAAGGGGGCAATACTACGTTGAAGGGGGCGACGATTCGTTAGAGGTTGAGAATCACTGGTTTAAACGATTAAATTTTGTACGTTATTTAGTTTTTTATATGTAAATTATATTATTTAATACGTTCGATATAAATTCATTTAATATACGCAAGTAAGTTAAAATAAATCGGGTAATTCTTTTTTTTAAATTATTTCGGTAAACAGTAAAATTTTATTTAAATTGGATAATGATGGATGTTCGTTATGACGTCAGTGGCAGCCTATATCTGTAACGGTATGCCTAGAATTGCCACTAGGGGCGCCCCTAGCTATTATTTAAATTAACAATAAATTTAGTTTTTTGCGTAACAATATTAAAATAACAATAAATGCAATATTTTTGCGTTTTTAACTGCGTTTTAGTCGAGTATGCCACGAGAATGCACATTAAGAAGAGATTTTTTAAAATTCCTCCCGCGAGAGAGAGGGTTAATGATTACCCTGAAGAACTTGGATTTTACGGAACTAATTTAAATGTAATTTTTTGTGTTTTTGACTGCGCCATGAGAAATTCAGTATATTATTTTTATTTGTAATATAAATTTATTATTTATACCACGAAATGACACCGCTGCTGCTAGAACGTCCACTAGGGGGCGACCCGAGCTACTAGTGTTATTTAGAGGAAATTTTAGAAAAGAGCAGTTTTTTTATTTTTTAGAAAATACAGTATTAATTAAAAATGAGTTACTGCTATTTAAATTTTTTTTTAAATTAGTCAATTTTTTTAACTTTCCGGCCTTTTCTCCAGCCTGCTGGTACTAAAACGGTCTCTTATAGCAAGCCCATTATGGGTTTGGCCAAACCCACAATATAGCGGCAGAGTGGTGAGGAACGGGGAACCAAAATATCCGAACGAATCATACTGCAGAAAGTTTTAGTAGTTCATTTGATCTGTCCGGATTTGAGCCCGGGTTACGCAAATCGATAGGTTGTTACCTTGACCGTTCGGCCATCCGGCCTTTACTTTTTTTGTTTGGGTATTTTTAGTCTATTAATTTTATAGAGACACAAAAGATTAGAATTTCTGTTATGTAGCATTAAATGTACAGTTTATTACAAATTAATGACCAAACTTTTTTTCTTTCGGATCCCTGCAAACATTGCAGAAGTGACTACACCTTTAAAAATTTGTGTTGTTTTTTTCCATGAGATTATAGCAACGACTGAGAAAATTATATAAAATATATGTTGGCTACTTTCAATAATAAACATTAACAATACTATAACCTCTGTAAAATATACTAAAATAAAAAATTCATATTCCTGTGTAATTATTAATTAAACATTACAAAAGTTAAGAGTTATTAGATGTTGGAAGTTTAATTTGAACAGTTACAGTTTAAAAGGTATATATAAACAATTAATACATTAAACGTTACAAATAAGATATAAAAATAACATTGTATCTACTATGAAAACATTAAAAAAAAATTGAAAATGCTTTACCAGTCACAGAATTTCTTATAATGTTGTTATATCTTCATTGACAAAACTGTTTTACATAAAAATAAAACGGAACCCATCAGTCTGAGTCACCAAGAACACATCAATTTTCTACTTCCGATTGGTCAGTTTTCTGTTCTTCTCGGTGTTTCTGGTCCGTTTTCTCTTCATCCTTATCCCAGTCGAATACGTAGTCGAATTGATAATTAAGTGTACGAAATAATTTGCTAAATAATTGCCTCAGATACGTATAATTTGGTTTTTCATCAAAGCGGAGACCTCTGCAGTAATTCAAGTAAGCTGCAAATTCGGCCGGAAATCCCTCACAAAGAACTTCTACTGGTATCGACATTTTTTTTTCACTTATTTTTTCATATTTCTGTGTTTTGGTTGCTGCTTTCAAACCTAGCCACGGTAGACTTCCACGAATAAAATACATTAACACATATCCTATCGACTCCAGATCGTCCCTACGACTTTGTTCAATACCCAAATGGGTATTAATGCTAACATAACTGACAGTACCAGTCATACCTTTACCCTCACGATAAGGTATATGTTGTCCTTTGCGAATATATTTTTTTGCTACACCAAAGTCTATGAGATAAAGCATATTGCGATGTTTTCCAATTCCAATAAGAAAATTATCTGGTTTAATGTCTCGATGAATGAACTTCTTATAGTGAACATATTGAATTCGTTCAATCATCTGATCAGCTAGCATTAAAACAGTTTTCATAGTAAAATATCGTGAACATAATGTAAAAAGTTTTTCTAAACTTATTCCAAGAATATCCATGACTAAAACATTAAAATCACTTTCTTCTCCATACCATAGTATACGAGGTATTCCGTTACCACCTTGAAGAACTTCATATACTTTATTTTCGTAGGGGAGTTGTGGATTCTTTACCTGTCTTGACTCCAATTTTATAGCAACCCGTTCTCCATTTGTGATGTCCATGCCAAGATAAATGTGTCCAAACGAACCACTTCCTATTTTACGTATGAATTTATACTTTCCACCGACGATAAAGTTTTCTTTTGATGAACTACTGGCGCTAGCCATTTCGTTATAACGTATATCTAGCGTTCCTTGACTTTTTATAACCTTACAGTAACTTCGGCAACCTTATAAAGGGTGCGTTTACTTTTATCTCTCCGATCTCGCCCCTAGCGCGCTCAGCCTGTATACTTTTTGTTTGCTACCAATGAGCACGATGTTTACTTTTCGCATCCGTGACGTCATTGCTAGCATTCCTACAGCGCTCGGCGTGCTCGCAGAATTTACAACGAGCTTGGAGTTTGTTCAAAGATGACGGCATCCATTACTGTGTATACTTTTACGAGCGTGCTAGTATGAAGTCAGGCTTAATTTTTCACTCCAGCAACTCATACCATATTTCTTGCGCCCGGAGGCACTAAACCACCGAGGGAAATTAGCGGGCTGATCATCTGGCGAAGGCCGCGGCTGTTTATTACTCCCTTACCATCACTTACAACAAAATCAGTCACGACAGAGTGAGAAAAATTATTTACAAGGATGTCTTAAGTCGCTGGCAACCATCCTGGTCTCAACGACACAACGAAACCACTTACAAGTATATTCCTAACATCATCGACTATCACGACAAATACAAATGGGTGACTCCTGACTATCACCTCACGCAGTTCCTTACAGACCACGGAAAGTTCTCAAACTAATTGCACAGATTTACCAATAAAAGTACCCCTCTTTGTGCCATATGCAGCCAGACAGACAACTCTGACCACCATTTATTCAGCTGTATCTTTCTTCAGACCGAAAGACTTGCCATCAAAGTGACCACTCAAAGCATGAACATCCATTGGCCCTGCCAACACAGTGAACTTCTAAAAAATAAAATACTCTTCAAGCTTTTTCATCAACTTGTAAAGAAACATGTGGTAATTGCCCCTATTTTCACTAGCAGCTAAACCATCTGTATATACTGTATTGTATTGTACAGTAATATATTTTACTGCCTCCAGCTACAACCCACTTTTCACTGTACTCCCCACACCTTACTACATGTTACACTACTGTAATTTAATACCCTATACTTACTTTACTGTATCTTTTTTGCTATTTGTATATACGGTAGTTTCCACTCGGCTATGCTTAGCGGTACCGAGTATGTATTGTAACAATACGTTAATAAATAATAAATAAATAAAAATATGAGGCCAGGCTGCGCTAAATATCAGCTCGGCGAGCTTGGAAGCTAGCGAAAAGTAAACGCACCCAAAGAGCAAGTGCAGCTTAGGGGGTACCCGTAAACTGCACGTGCCCGTTCAAAGGTGATAAGGCTGTTTGAAAGGTTTACCGAGTAGTCTTCCATAAAATGAATTGATTCTAGACTAATGTGACTCGAACTTTTTCAAAATACGTATAATTTTTTGGAATAATCCATATAAAATATGCTATAAAGAAACAATTGTAGGAAAATTTACTGAGTATGCACCATTCAAAGACCAGTTGCTTAAGCTTGTTTTCGTCCGGAGCGGAACTCGGTGTACGAAGCGTGTCACGGGACATTTGTGAGTGCTATTCGATTTGTGGATCACATGATACTTATCTCTGACTTGTTTCTTGATAATTTATTCTTTCTGCGAAGAATTCGCTAAACTTTAGAGACATCACGCGATAGATCAGTATAGTATTTTTATTGTAATTAGAAAAGACTTATTATTATTGAGTATATGAAACAACGAAGGTAAAATCGCTGGCTAAAGACAATAATTCTATCATGATATATATTATGATGATAAATATTAATTAACTGCAACATGAGATGTCTAATGTCTCGATGTAAATAAATATTATACAATTTTATTTACGACATGAAAGAGATTAAAACATTTAAAAGCAGAGCAGAATTATTACTTATTTATCGCACTATCATACATGTTGATTTTAATACATATTTAAAATGAAATGATGTTTTAAATATTTCTGTTAATGATAAGGTGACCAGACGTCCCAACAGTCCTGATTTTTAACAACTTGTCCCGCACCCCCGGTGGTTCGACTTTTTAGAAAAATTAAATTTTTGTTAATTATGTGTCATAAACTTGCGTCTTAAGATTCGGTAAAGATCGTTACGTATTGTTGCTGTACGCCATATTAGATATATATTTTGTTCTAATTTTTATATATTTTCCTTTCTTTGTTTTTTGTCTATTGTTTGTCCTTTGTAGAAATTTTTTTTTCAACCCTTCCTTCTTCTTACTTGGGTGATGATGACTAATCACTTTAGAACAATAGAGAGTAATGTGACTCTGAGGGCTGTGTGTGTGTGTGTGTGTGTCCAACGAGCCAGCGTTGCCATTCCTGGTACATTTGTACTTTTCGGGTACATTTTGCCCTTTCGATTACATGGAAAGTACACTTAGATTTTTAGTACATTATGAATAAATTATAATATTTCAGTCCCATTCTACAGTACAAAATAATATTTTATGCCATAACGAAAAAATGCGAAAAAATTAGTCTAATAAAGTCTCACTAGTGTCACTGCTTGCTAATTTGTTTACCAAATCACATCATACACCATGTGTATGTTGTCATTGGGTAAATCAAACTATCCGCATGTTGGGTATGTTGGGTAAATCAACTATCGGTATGTTGTTGATAACATGATAGAAGAGCACTGAGTCATAACATTTGCACGTGCAAATGTTATGACTCAGTGCTCTCCTTTCACAGGTGTCACACGTTTCAGTGTCTACACATTCTCACGAGGACCTTGACTAAATTTTCACGCCACGTGGTCCAAACAATTCAACTCTGTCAAACGAAAATAATGAATAGATAAGAAAATCAATGATTTTAAACTTTTGTCGTCAATAATATCAGAATAGTCGTTAAGTCAGAGTCGAATTATTACACAAAATAATTTTGAAATTGTACAGTAAAAGTATAAATAATATGAATACTTTTATATTATTTTCTACCTCTATAATTTAATTCTTAATTTAATTACGAACTTCAATTGTGGTAATCTTGGTAAAAGAAATAACATTTTTAATTTGAATCTGTCCATGCATATTTAATTTATAATTTTTTTTATCCATCACTATAATATTTTTAAAAAAATCAACTTTTAATTAATGTCATATTTAAGAAAAAACCATAGAAACTATTTTCATAAAATCTTTTTATGAAATATTTAACAAAGTATTCGTGAATATGAATTTGAAATAAGCCCAAAGATTGAGTATGATGGTATATTAATATTAAAAGTAACCAACCATAGAAATAGTACATTTTGAAGAAAAATAGTACATTTTTTGAAGGAGCTTCAGTACGTTTCGAAATTTTATTGTGGCAACTTTGCAACGAGCATTCTTTTCTGGGAATCGGACAACATAAGATGGACAAAAATTACAATATAATATAATTTTAAATTACATTATTTTTTAGTTTTTTTTAACATAATGAGCAAGAAAAGAGAATGCAAGTTCAACGATGATCTAAGAAGTGAATTTCCGTTTATTAAGAAAATGTAATGATGAATTTTCTATTTCGCACAGCGGGAAGAATAATATTTCAAAGCATTTGGAGACATAGAAACATAAAAGTCATTTAAATATTGCTGTATCTTCCTCAAAAATACAGGACTTTTTTTCGAAAAACGACTTATGGAGACGAAAAAAAGCAATTAGTATTGGCAGAAGGACATGTTTTATCATGCTATTACAGGTATACCTCGACTTACGTCGTTTCGAGTTACGTCGTTCCCGATTACACGTCGTTTGTTAAAAAAGTATATGGAAAAATAAAAATCAAGTTTGTCATTTTATTCGACTTTACGTCTGTCCGCCACAAATATTGAAGTCGTAATATCACTAGAAAAGCGTTTATAGCACATAAAATCATATTAAATTATATACATTTACAAGTATGTACTGTATTTAAAGTACATGCATTCGTAAATTTAGATTACTTTTTTCTGTACTATATTAAAAACTAAAATTTATTTGTTTGCAATCTTAAAATAGATCCTTATTAACCGTATATTACTAGAAATGCATTAATAAATAAAATACAAAACCGGGAATGGTAATTTATGGTTTAGCCAAGTAACAAGTAGATTCGGAGACAAGTAAATTCAACTTACGTCGCTTTCCTGGAACCAATTACCGACGTAAGGCGAGGTATACCTGTAATCACAATCATAGCTTCGGGTCAATGGATAGTTTCTCACAAGTTATCAAAATACTAGCAGACCTCGCTACGCGTTGTTGTGGCTCAGAATGTATCTATTATAAACGTATAACACTTTTCCCATGGGGGGAATTTTTCGAAAAATCCCTTCTTAGTATACATTGTCTTGACGTACCGTATTAAAACGCAATCAAAAACGCAAAAAAACCGCGTTTAAAATAGTATAAATAGAAGCAGAGTTCTTTACCGTAAGCCTTAATCTTGTCCATCTCCCCCAGTGGGGAAAATTTCGACACGTATATTATATAAAAACACGTGCGTATTCGAATACAACGTAGTGTCAAAATTAAAAAAAAATCGGTAGGAACAAACACACATTACATTTTTATTTATATAGATTGATAGAAGACGATCTGCTTTAGTTCATCCTCACAGAAAAACATAATGCCTCACAGAAAAGCAAACTTAGGATCGTCGTACTCGTAGCTCCATCCGTTGGACATAAAAGCCTTAACCTAGATGATATCTTTTAATTTATATGAATGTTTACCGGAATAATATACAGCCTATGTCCAGCCTGAAGTTCCATTCTACCTATTGGTGAAAGAATTTTTGAAATCGGATGAGTAGTTTCGGAGATTATCCGCTACATACAAACTTACAAACATTGCCTCTTTATACTATTAGTACAGTAATACCCCGAACTTACGCGATAGGTGGGACCGAGCGATAACCGCGTAAGTCGGGGTATAATTTCGCAATTTGTGTAAAATCCAAGTCGTATGTATGTAAGCTAATAAATGTTCTCAAATCACCAGGTATCGTCACCAGGGGGCAGCTTTCATGAAATCTACATATTCCAGCGCTTCTTTTTAGTAGATAAAAGCAATATCACCCTAAACAAAGGTATGATGGATGCAAGGAAGACGTCTGAATATCACCAGTTCCTTTTTTAGAAATTTTTTGAAATTTTAATTGGATATATTTTTGTGTTTTTTAAAAGGACTTTTTAAACTTCTGGCAACAAGTAGCCTAAAAGGAAAGGTCTGTTGCCAAGAATGTGTATTGTCTGGAACACGAAAATAATAAATGGTGGTCCTTTATTGGGCAGACTG